CCTGCCTGCTCCTTTCTGTTGACTGGCCCTCTGTTGCAGTTTCACCAATTGAGAACATCTCATCCAGGCTGGCTTTACGTGCCACTTCTGATCATAAGGGTAGGAGACTCACTGTCTTTTCCTTCCCCCAGGTTTTTGAACTGTGTAAATGATGAATAGCTTTCTAAGACAGGAGAAGGAAGGGGAGGAATGTGTTAAGGAAAGCCTAGGGGTAGACCATCACTGGCTGATGGGCGAGTGAAGGACTGTGAAATATATAAGGAAATTCTACCATGAAGAACCTCTACAGGGGAGAGCCTCCATCTGAACTCAGAAAAATGAACCACCCCCGGCTCCAGTTTCAGCTGCTTCTTATCCCTCCTTACAGAAAGCAGGGTTACTCACTGACTGCCTGTACTGGGCTGTGAAAGCCCCACAGTAGGCCACACAAGCTGCTGCTATGAACACGTTCCCAGTGATATTTGATATTTCTTCCTCAAACTTCTGTATGCTTTCTTCCCATCGAACCTGCTCATCTTCCAATGCTGCCGTCAGCTTTCCAGCACGTACTACACGTGCTTTTGTCAGGGCCATCGTCTTTGCTAGAAAAATTTTAAGAAAATCAGATTATACTATTCAATATTTTCATAAAGTATTAAAAGCTTATTTACCTGTTTCTTTTTTAGCAGAATAGCATTATTTAACTAATGATGTCAATACATCTCTATGAAACCTTACACCAATTCAGCATTCATTCCCATTTCAGAACCAAGTCTAAGCTTGCCTTTTCCATATCGAGAACTCTGAAGACAGTGTTTTCTGTATCCTTGTAGTATTTAGTTTCCGGATCAAATTCACATACTGTTTTGTGTTTTAATGTAACATGCTCCAGGAAGGCTTGTTCAGGTACAGGATGTTGAATATATAAAACACATGAGTTCTTATTTGATCCTAGAAGGCTAATGAAAATACATTCTATACATTGGATAAAAGCTAAAACCTGATTCCCAAAAACTTCTTCCTACTTCTGAAAATCAGGCATTTCCTGCCCAATGTAAATTTTATGAGTTACTTACCCAGGCTTTCTTTTTCATTTACACCTTTGTCATATTCATCTTGTAAGGCCTGTATTTGATCTTCTACTTGTCTTAGTAATGCTTGCTTTTCTCTCAGGGTAGCCATGGTAATGTCAAGTTCAGCCTAATAAAATCAAGCAACTGTTTAAGAACAGGCCCAAAAAGAAAGCAGAATTTGCCCATTAATAATACAGATCTAAAAAAATTTATATATATGTTCCTCTTTTCATGTCCAAAAAGACTTTGATGTGATATATAAAGTTAAAACAAATATAAAGTAAAATACAAGAACAGAAGTAAATGAAACAAAACAAAATCAATAATAAAGCCCAACAAAATAAATCACAATAGAGAAACAGGTATACTGGGCATTTGGGATGAATTAGGCATCATAATGGATTATTAATTTTAAATGATGCAACAAATTAAATATTCATGCCATAGTGGAAACTAATATTTCCTAACTAGCTCTCCACATCAGAGACCTGCAAACTATGGCCTGCAGGTCAAATCTAGCCTGCTGCCTGTTTTTGTACAGTCTGCAAGCTAAGAATGGTTTTTACATTTTTAAATAATTAGAAAAACTCTTTAAAAGAATAATATTTAATGAACTGTGATCATTGCGTGAAATTTGAACTCTAGTGTCAATAAATAAAGTTATATTGGAACATAATCACGCTTATTCATCTATGTATTGTCAGTGACTATCTCTGTGCTGCAACAGCAGAGCTGAGTGCTTGCCGCAGAGGCCATATAGTCTGCAATGCATAAAATATTGGTTCTTTGGGTCTTTATAGAAGAAGTTTGCCAACCCCTGCTCTATAGCCATAGTTCTTTCAGTAAGCTGCTCCACTAAATGATCATTCTTTTTTCTTCTTGGGAAGATGAAGGGCCTCACATCCAATGACAGGGTTAAGCTGGTTCTAAAACCTCAGATGACACCATCAAGCACGGAAGTATTTAGCAAACGGAAATACAGACCATCAGATGCTTGAGCTAAAAAGTATCTTAAAAATAATAGATTAATTCCTTTTTTTTCAGATGAATATACTGAGGAACTCATGTTCCTCCTATGCTGAAAGAAGGCTGATTTCAGAGGCAATTTCTGAAAAACAATTGCCAGCTCTTGTTTAAAACAAAAGCTAATTTCCAAGAGTTTTGTCACTGTCTATATTGCGTAAGACCATAGTAACATTATACAGAGAATTTGAATGATTGGCGATCATGGTCTTCAATTGTATAAAATATCACAATACAGAAAATGTACCTGTGCAGCACGGAGCTTTTGTCTTTTTGGTTCAACGACCTTGACCACTCGAGAGTACAAATCCATAGCTCTTACCCACATGCACATAGATTTACATGCTTTGGACACTTTCTCCACTTTTTCAGGCACAAAATCAGGATTATTAATATACTTTTGAAGCTTTGCCAATATCTGAGGCTTTATGTTCTCCTTATCATATTCTAAAAGCCTTTTTAGAAAGTTAGAGTCACCAAGAAGTTGCTTTGCTGATGCCCAATCAGGCCTGAAAGACAGACATGATATATTAATAGTACTGAAATGAAGCAATATAAGAACAAAAGAAATGTATTTCTTTGAGAACATTATGATATTATCCCAATAAGCGGGTAATTTTAATCTCGGTACTGTAATTCTAGTAATTGGTAGTTAGGTGAACCACAATTAATTCATGGGGCGAAAAGAAAATGGGTGACTAAGGTTGCATGCAACCCAGCTTTGGTAGAGAAAGAATTACAAAATCATAGTTTTACAAATGTAAGGCATTATAGAAACAATAGTTTTATTTTTGAAATGCTGCAGGCACTCACATTTTACCTCCTTTATGATAGTTCCCACCCTTAAAATCACCTGCCAGGACAGTGCAATTGGTTTCTAACTGGGCTTTATGTCTCTTTGAACTTTGCTCTTCTGAACTTTTGCCAGATTGATCTTTCTACCATGAAAATCTGATGAGATAAAAAATGTTCAACGATTCTCAGTCCCTTCTGCCCACAGCTCTCTCTCTGTGCTCTGCAGAGCTCCCTGGGCCCTACCGAAGTACCAGTTTAAGGTCAGTGGGAACTTCTCCACTCTGTCTCCTGGAGGCCTGGTGGTGATGTGGTGCTCTGAGCCCTTTGCCCAGTTTTACATAGAAAGGTTCATTACAACATAATTTTATTGAAAAAATGTTTGTATTGTTAAAGAAAGTTTGAAAACTACGTATCTCCAAGATGAAAACTGAAATGTTTAGTGCAGTATTCAAGACCTTTCATGATGTAATCACTGGTCTCCTGCCCAGCCCCATCCCATTCCAAGAACATCAAAGCTCATTCCTGAGCTCGCCTACGGTCCCGCTATCCAACTGAGCATTGTTTTCCAAGAAACCTGCTTGCACATCCCCAGCTGGACTTAGGCACTGTTTGCTCAGCACTCCCAATACTATACAACTCTCACGTTATAATGAAATTATTAGTTTTCATGTCTACTTCCCACTAGCCTGTGTATATCTTGTAGAGAAAAACATATCTTCCACCATCTAGTACAAAATAGATGTTGGGGAAGAAAATGTTCCTTGAATCAATTTGTTGAATGATCAGTTGAAGCAATGAGAAGGCTGAGAAGGGAATGAATATATAAATTATCATAGAGGAAAACAGTAAAGAACTCTTACCAGGTATCATGGCAATATGTGATTCTGAATTACTCACTTGGCATTCAAGAGAATGGAGATTGCTTCCATTACTGTCATGACCAAATCTGGGGGCTTTGTAAAAACTCTAATTTCAGATATGTCTGCCTTATCTAAGGAATCCAGTGCTTTGTTGGCAGCATCCAGTGCAGGTAGTGCCTCGTCAAGATCTCTTTGAGCATCATCAGCTATTGCTTGGGTTTCTTCAGCTTTGACTTTTGCTGTTGCTTCGTCTTCCTGCACAGTGTTACGGACCTAACCATTGAGACATGACTGCTTAAGTGGCCTCATTATTTGAATTTTAATGTTTAAAACAAAGCCAATAATAATGAATCATATTTGCCCTTTGGATTAGAGTAATGATGAAAGGCTATTAGCTAGATTGCATTTTATGCTCTCCTTTGTCCATCTATGCCATGCCAATAGCATAATGAATATAAACTTACAACAAACAGTTCCATTTTAGGAGAGACGCAGTTGCTTTACATTTGTAGGTGGTGCTTTTCTCACAATTCTCTGTCCCATTCATTGGGCTGCATCAATTCTTGGGGACAGAGCCAAACTGATTTAGTAAAGGGAGATTGTTTACAACTTAAAAGCATTTCTAATTGCTAAAAAAAAAACTTTGCTAAATCTATCACTTAATTATTTTAATAACATATATAATTAAAAATCCAATCGTGTCTCACTGTGTATAAGTGATCAGTTGCTGACTGAAGCCTTTTCCACATTCTCAGGAACTGCAGCATACCTGATCGGCACTTTCTTGATCCACTGCCAATTTTTCCATCAGGGCTTCAACATCTTGTGATTTTATTAAAAGTACAGGTTCTAAAGCTGAAAGATCTAATTTCATTTTATCTACTAGTACGTTTGTTTCTAGTAGCTTGGTGAGACCATTCTTCACCCGATCTCGTGCCTAAGTGACAATGAAAATTTCTATTATAATGAGTATTATAACTCTAAGTTTACTGGTATCGAACACATATTACTCATGTATTAGACTTTTACATCTACAGAATTGGTAAATCAGTTTGTAATAATTCAGGTTGTGAACATATTACAAACTGGGAAATGTTCAGGTAATGGAACTCTAGAAATGGCCATGACATTCATCACAGTTGTTTGGATCCATGCCCTCTGGCCACAGCAGTGGGATGTCACTGGGCTGTGGCTGTGAGGACCACGTGGTACTGGTTTTATTCCCTGTGGTAGCATGTTGAAATGAGTGAGAACCACATGGTACTGTTTTTATTCCCCGTGGTAGCATGTTGAATGAGTGAGCAACAGGTCCAGATGTGAATCCCTGGAGGTTGCAGCTCTGGGAGCTTGTTTGCTCTGGCCAGCAGGGCTGAGGACCCCTAGGGAGATGAGGTCCAGAGGGTCTAGCTCTGGCTGCTGGATTTGAACCCACTTCCCTGTGGTAGAAAACTCTTGACCATGATCAAAGGGGTGGCATCTGGTAAAGGAAACACCTGGGAAGAACTGTTTTTCGAAAGTGAGTCAGAAAGCTTGGCTCATGGCCAGGCGCGGTGGCTCATGCCTGTAATCCCAGCACTTTGGGAGGTCGAGGTGGGCGGATCACAAGGTCAAGAGATGAAGGCTATCCTGGCTATGGCGAAACCCCGTCTCTACTAAAAATACCAAAAATTAGCCGGGCGTGGTGGCGGGTGCCTATAGTCCCAGCTACTTGGGAGGCTGAGGCAGGAGAATGGCACAAACCCAGGAGGCGGAGGTTGCAGTGAGCTGAGATAGTGCCACTGCACTTCAGCCTGGGCGACAGAGCGAGACTCCATTTCAAAAAAAAAAAAAAAAAAAAAAAGAACGCTTGGTTAAAATGGGCAGATTTCAAAAATATTGGTCAAGTTATTTCACAAGGCAGGCATTTTACCAGGTAAAAATCCTCCAAAAAATTTAAATATCTATATTGTAAGTGCTTCCCTTTTCAGTGTGTTTAAAATGTAGAAAATTGTAGGTCATATTAACATCCTGATGATGATGATGATGGCAGCTTCTATTTTCTGAGCACTTTATATGTGTCAGATCACAGTTTCAGGAATTCACTAACAGTGTCTTAAATTCCACGACAAGCCAACAGGTAGATACAGATTTTCTTTTAGCCTTATTTTCTACTAAGGCTTAGAGAAATTACTAATGTGCTCAAAGTTGCACAGCCAGAGGCAGAACATAGGCTGTACATAGTTTGACTGATACCACTGGCACATGTTCTTTAAAACACCATCTGTATTGCTTAACAAAATGTTTTCCTCTGTATTAAATACCACAGAGATGACAAGTTCACTGCATAACTTTGATGGTCTTGTGATGCCCATATCATTCTACTGAGTAAGGATACTTGCATAAATGACAGAAGGTATATATATATATAAAATTCTTGAGAAAGGAGAAGGCCCTCAGACCGACAGCAGGAAACACTTTTTGGTCATATTTTAGGTTGTCAGGGGCACATATCAGGATGGAGAGGGCCTGATATGGTTTGGATCTGTGTCCCCACCCAAATCTTATGTTGAAATGTAATCTCCAATGCTGGAGGTGGGGCCTGGTGGGAGGTAATTGGATCATGGGGGCAGTTTCTCATGGTTTACCAACATCCCCCCTTTGGTGCTGTCATCATGATAGTGAGCTCTTGTGAGATCTGGTTGTTTAAAAGTTTGTGGCACCACCCCCCTCTCTCTCTTGCTACTGCTCTTGCCACATAAAATGTGCCTGTTTCCTCTTCGCCTTCTGCCATGATTGAAAGTTTCCTGAGGCCTCCCCAAAAGCTGAGCAGATGCCAGCATTATGCTTCCTGTACAACCTACAGAACTGTGAGCCAATTACATCTCTTTTCTTATAAATTACCCAGTCTCAGGTATTTCTTTATACCAGTGTGAGAATGGACTAATACAGGGCCCTGACAGGTAAGACAGTGCATAGAGTTTCCACGCATTCTCAAAAGTTCTGAGTTCAAGCAAAACAATATTTTCATGGACAATATTGAACCTACTGAAATAATCTGCTTCCTTTTTTCAGACAGCATAGACAGGTAAAGATTGATAAGCTCCAGGTAGGAGGTGGGTGTTGTGTAGTACCGCCTGCGCAGCTCATTGTAATAGCGCTCTGCCATGCTGGAGACACTCAGGTGAACGTTCACGCACATCAAGGGAAGCTTTTCTTTCAGGTCCTCATTTCCAGTATCGACTTGTGAGAAAAATGTCTTTGACACAGAAAGAAGTGCTTCTCTGGGCCACTGTGAATCAAGGAAAAATCTAGAAAATCTATTGTGTCATTTCAATAACATACAGTTCAATACCAAGAAAAACATATTTCTCAGGAATTCCTCCTTGCCCGGTCCCCTCTTCACCTAGTTAACTCCTACTCATGTCCATGGAGCTTAATGAACTGAAGGGCTCTGTCCATTTGAGGGGTGCCTGGGTCTGCATTTACTGACCAGTATGTCTCCACAGTATCATGCACACAGAAGTTGTTCAATAAATATTTGTTGACTGAATGAATTAATGATTGGGTGTTTCTAGAATTCCATAAATAAATCACATATGTTATAGGGACCTTATGCTCTCACTACGTTTGTTACGTAGTTGGGACCTCACGTCCATCATTATAATTACTGTCCTGCACACCTCAACTCCTTTGCTCCTCTCTTGCTTCTTTGAACTCACCTGAGCATTGGTCAAATGCAACTCTCTTACTCCATGCTTGCAACTGTGCAGCTGAGCATGGCTGGAGAAAAATGCACAACCTTGCCGATTAGTATCACTTTAAATTTATGATAATTAGCTCTTAGTGCAGCCCAGAAATGCTTCTACCTTTTTTAAATACATCAGTTTTGTGCTCTCCTGAGTATTCCACACCTGATTCTACTTCCTTAAACTGCTGACACTTAGTCTTTCTTCTTCACTCTCAGCTGATGACCTCACTACCCATATCACTAAAAAATAACAGCAATGAAAACAGAACTTCAATGAGCTCTTATCCCCACATCTTCCCACTACCTGCATCTGTGCTCATATATTTTGTCTCCCCACCTGTTACGCAGGGGTAGGCTGTCGATGCTCCCTGACCAAGTCAGCCCCTTCTTTGAGGACTCATTCTCATCCCTTCTTGCTTAATCAAGGTCACTGGTCCCACAGCGCTTAACTCGGTATGCTACATCATCAATATATTTATCTTTTCTGGATCATTTACATCAGCACACATGCATGCCACTTGTGTTTCACATTTAAAAATACTCCTCTCTTGACCTCACATGTCCCCTAGCTCTTGCCCCATCTCTCTGCTTTCCTTTGGGGCAAAACTCGAAAGTGTTGCCTATAATCATTGACTCAGATTTCTCTCCCCTCTTCTCTCTTGAACCCTTTCCCCCACTGTCCATTGAAACAGATTTTGTCAAGATTGCTGATAACTTCCACATTGCTAAATTCAATGGTCTCCTCTACCTTTACAAATTCTGTTTTGTCTTTGTTCTATGATTGCCATGGTCATTCCCTACATGAATAAATTCCTAGTAGGCTTTAAAGCTAATACAAGTACCCACGAGTTACTCTTGGACAATGTGTTAACCCCTTTAAAGTCAAGCAAGTCCAACTTCTCAAACAGATATGCTGGGATGTCACCAACCTGCACAAACCAGTCAATGGTGCAGCAGTTCACAAGCGATGGAAACATCCTGCACCGGGACCGAAAGGCCTCCCCAACTGGGCTCATGCAGAGAACAATGTGCAGCTTCTGACGCACTCTGCTGATAAAGTATTGAAACACCTGACAAAAAGAAAGATATTTTTTCAATTTAAAATAATGATTAAGCAACAATGAAAATAAGTGTTGGCTAATGCATCTGAGGTTCCCAATATCAAATATAAAATGTCAGTATAGTAGATATGTAAATTTTGTTATTCAACATTCACTCCAACCTCTTTCTCTCACACAGTCTGGAAAGATTAAAAATGTCATTTTGCAAACTCCATCGCAGCTAGGGTTCTGGATGTGATTTAGGTCCCTTTCACCCGTGTACTTGAGGAGATCATTTGAATAAAGGGCCATTCATACAAGGTTTTGCTGTGGGGCAGAGGACATCTGGGAGAGAGGGCCAGGGTGCTGCACAGCATCAGGTTTTATAAGTGCAGAGTCTGGCAGAAGTCGCATAGTATGGGAGTTTTTTTTCTTTTTCAACTTTTATTTTAGATTCTGGGGGTACATGTGCAGGTTTGTTATAAAGGTATAATGAATGATTCTGGGGTTTGGAGTGTGACTGATCTTGTCACCCAGGAAGTAAGCACAGTACTCAATAGGTAGGTTTTCAACCCTTTCATCCCTCTCTCCCTCCCTGCTCTTTTATTCTGCGGTGTCTATTGTTCCCATCTTTATGTCCATGTTACCCAAAGTTTAGCTGTAAGTGGGAACAGGTGGTATTTGGTTTTCTGTTTCTGCACTATTTGCTTATGATAATGACCTCCAGCTGCATCCATGTTACTGTAAAGGACACGATTTCAATCGTTTTTATGGCCATATAGTTTTCCATGGTGTACACCTGTCACATTTTCTTTATCTAATCCATCATTGATGGGCACCTGAGTTGGTTCCATGTCTTTGCTGTTGTGAATAGTGCTGCAGTGAACATACAGGTGCATATGTCTTTTTGGTAGAATGATTTATTTTCCTTTGGGTATATACCAGTAATGGGATTGCTGGATCAAATGGTAGTTCAATTCTTAGTTCTTTGAGAAACTATCCTGGAGCTATTATCTCTGGAAGTGCCTCCTGATTTCAGTTGCTTCCTGATGTGATGGAGGACACATGGCTCTGGAGCTGACGGTTGACACAGAGGCACACTGACTGGTTTAGTGGCTCCCTGCTTCAGCAGGAATGGTTGTGGCAGAGGCGGCTACCACCTTGACCATTGACTTCTACAGTGTACATTTTATATTCATTCCAAGGAGTTCAGTCTGGAGTTTCTTTCTTTGGCCCTTCCAATGATTCTGTATCCTTTTAATAAATCCCTTCCTGCTTACATTAGCAGAAGTAGACTTGCATCTGTACCTATAATCTCTGACCTAGCAGGAGAGACAATTCTCACAAAGGGAAACAGTAAAGATATAAGAAAGAACAGCCAGAAAGTTAAAGAAGGTGCAGAAACCAGGAAAAAAGCTGGGGTGAGCAAGTAACGGTGTATGGGATCTAGCATGGTGTTGGAGAATGGCAGAGTACAGCAGTCACACTGTTCCTGAGAGAGTGAGAGAAAACACATTCCTGCTTTGTTGTGTTGTAACATTGCTGCTAGGCAAGGGCATCAACAATACTAGACCTAAGCCTTCAGCCCTCCACAGGAGGATGCTGCAATGTGTGGAATAAACTGGTGCTTAAAGAGGAATAAGAGAGGCTAGCCAGTTTGGACAAGACTATGACCTCCGTGGGGCAGTGGGATTTCTGTTTTCTGCTTCCCACAGAACTTTCTGGAAGTCTGGTGCACCAATGCTTTAAACACCGAAAATAAAATACATAGAACACAAAGGAAACCAATTACATTGAAAAATATTGTATTCATGGACCCCTTCAGGGGATCAGTGAATGGTTAAATAAAAGGTGAAGAAATCTTTTTGTGATAAAGCCACATAACTACTCTGGCACGTCCTACCTCATCCCTGTTCCCCTCGGAAATTCCTACTTCTTTTGCTCTTGGTCTGGTGGCCGCTAAAACTTGCTCCAGTTCATCCTTTTCAAATAAATTAGGTACTTCACCTGAGTTCAGAATGTTATTTATATCTTCTAGGAACTCCTCCACTACAATCTGTAGAAGAAGGCAGTGATCATTACAACTTGCTCAATCATTTTCCATTTATTACTAAGCAAATATTTATTCTAAAATTCACAGGAATCGATTGTATCTTTAAGAGAATATAATCTTAAAAATTACATGGAACCCTGAAGTTCTAACATAGCAAGTGCACTGATTTTTCATTTTTCCTTTGTGTTTTGTTTCTTAGCAGACATTCCCATTTTACCTGGGTCAAGTCATATGTGCAAGTATTTTATATTCTGCCCCCTTCAGTTACCATTTTATCATTAATACTAACCCATAGTTCTGTAATGTACTCATCATATTTATCACAAATATAGAAGCAGAATGCACCTTTGAGCTGATGCACTATACATTTACATGGACAGAGATAGCTTACACTCTTGTTTATAAGAACAATTTTAGGCATATAGCTTTTCTCCTTAGTTGGATTATTTTCTTGAAACAAATTCCCAGGAGTGAGATTACCAATTAAATGCACAAATATTTTCTGGATTTTGAAGATTTTACGATTTCTCATTCAATTCAAGTGTGACTTCATCAATTTTTAACATTTATTTTCGTTAATTTGGAACGTATAATAAATGCTTTCTTTTGAAGAATTTAGTTTGGATGTTTTTGATTATTGGCAAGGGAAAATATTATCGCATATTTATTACTGTCCATTAAAAAATCGACCTAAACTTTGCAACCATCTGCATCTTGGAGTTTTCTTTCAAATTTGTATGAGTAATTTACATATTTTGAAATAGACTTTTTGTCTCTCAACATTGATGCATATTTAAAAGTAATCTCTCACCCTTTATTTCAGCTAGCTTTTTAGTTATATAGAAGTTTGAGTACTATACATTTAACTATGACAAGATATCTGTTATTTTCTTCATTTGAAACTTTTTGTTTTTCTTAATGAACTTGGTATAATTGTGTCTGTCAATTTTCCCCAAGAATAAACAGTAGTTTTCTGTGTTCTAATTTACTTCTGCTTTTATCTTGTTTCATTTTCTTATGTGTCTTGTGACATTTTACCCTCCTAAAGTTTTAAGTAAACTAATTTGTGTAGCTTCTAATTTTTGATTCAGATCTATAAATGTAAATTTGAGAACTGTTGGGTTCCATTCCATAGATTTTTACTTATATTAAGTTCATTTTTCTTAGTCTCTAAGAGATTTTGACTTTCTTGATTTTTATATGAATATTTTAAAGTCCTAAGACACATCATTAATTTCTCCTTTGATTAAAGCATAGGCAAAGAATAAGTACAGCTTATGCTTTTCACAATTTAATAAAAATTTCTTTAAATCTAGTATGTGATTAAGTTTTGTAAACATTCAGTAGTATTAGAAAATATTTGCTTTCTCTGTAAAATATGAAATATAGTATATAGCTATTAATTGTAGCTTAGAAATTATATTAGGCAAAATATCTAATCATACTTATTTCTACTTTGTATTTGTTAGTTACAGCCAATTAAACTTTATTTTTAACATCTTGCTTCTCTCAATTTCTTCTCATATTTATAATGTTTTGTGTATATATATAAGTTCATGTATAGACACATACACTTTTATTTTTGTGGTTACGTTTACTCTTCATTACTGTAGAACATTTGAGATTGATTGGGGCTTTCAACAGAATGCAATAACTTTTTGTCTAAAGAGAAGCAACACAATACGATTTGATCTTTGGAGCTTTAATACTTGGAGACTTTTTACATAACTTGTTTGATTTTTTAAAGCAATGTTAAAAACACTATCAGAAATATCTTAATTTTAGGATAATTAGAAACTACAGATAAGCAAAACTAAGAAAATAAAAATCACTCACAATCCCATGATTCAAATGTTTTCTCTTTGTACATGGGGCATACATGTCTAGATAAAATTTGTATGTTTCTATAATATAATTTTAAAGTTTTTACATAGTGCTCTAGTATATGGTTATAACAGATATTATATATACGACTTTCTCTCAGTGGACATTAATACTCTCTCAGGTTATTATTTTAAAACATTACAGTAGATATTCTCATACGTGCAACTGTACGTAGCTTTGATTATAATGTAAAAGAAATGTAAAGGCTTTACCTACATATTGCCAACTACTTTCCAGAAAGATTTTGCTAATTTATAATCTCCCAGTGAAGAATAAACAGGCCGATTATTCCCACACCTCTGCCAACACTGTATATTATGATTTTTAACCTTTATCAACTTGCAAGGAAAAGTCACTGACATTTTTATTTATTATAATTTCCTTCATTAATGGTGAGGTTGACAATTTCTTCAGGTGTTTAAAGCCCTTTGTTTCCTGGAACTGTGTATTCACATTCTACCACATTTTTTCTATTTCTTCTATAGATGTGCTTGACTTTTCCTTTTTCATTTGTAATAAGTATTTTTATAATAGGATACAAACTCATTGCATGTCATAGATATTAAAAATAGTTTTCCAACTATTTGTTTGTATTTAATTCTGCTTACAATATTTTTTTTAAAAAGGTATGCATTGAATCTATCACGTTTTTATTCCTTGGCTAATTTCTAGACAGGTTTATTTTCTCTAAAGAGAAAATATCCAAGAATAATCAATGTAGAAGGTCCTCTGCTATAGAATTAATTCGAGATCAGTTAAATTAGCTGTCATAGAATAGATGTAATCCTACTTCAATTTTAAAGGTAATTTAACCCAGAAGATAGCCCTTCCTTTTTCCTTTCTGTAGGTAAATGCATGTTTCCCTAATTGAATTTTTGGTAAATTATTTTCTTATATGCACTTTTATACAGTTTATTACCTTCTGTTATCTTTGCCGTTTCCCTCAAAGAAAAGTTAAAAACTTACTTCCTTGACCTTTGATCAAATTTAATTACTAAGAATTTAAAGAAGGGAAACAATATTTGGTAAAATAAATAAAAATGCATTATAAAAGTCTTTTACAAGCTGCGGGAAATGTGTTATCAAAGGGAGCAATCCCTTGAACTTCATCCTACAAACTGTTCAAAGCACACACCCGATTGTAACAACCATACATTTCCTGTTCTTACCCATGGGCTATTTAAACACACACCTGGGTGTCAGTGAAAAGGAAAACCATATTCTTGTCTTCTACACCAGCCATTTTGTACAACTTCCTCAGGTCTTCATGAAAACTATCATAATTATATCCCCGGCTGAGTTCAATCTGTAAACATTTGTAACCGCATATATGAGCTGCAAGTCTAGTGAGTGACTGCTTTCCTGTGCCTCCTACTCCGACAAGCAGGGCATTGCCTCTTTCTTGACGTATCATCCGAGCAATCCTGCAAACATCAGAGCAGAGAAAGGTTTATTTCAAGTTCACAGACGTGGCTCCCGCTCGGAGAGCCTGCCCCAGAGCCGAAGGCTGGTAGCCAGTGGAGCCTCCTCCTGGGGCAGGATGCTGCAAGGGAAGAGCAGGCTGAATCTGAGGCCAGGGTTTGGTGAACAGCACTGCTTGGCTTTTCTCTTTTTTGTCCTTTCCCCCATTCCTAACAGGCTGCTGGGTCTCGGCCCTAGTCGTACAAATTTACAATAAAGTAAAATCTCTTTTCCCTGAAGTCTGAAGGACTTTGTTGGAGACCCTACTCGATCTAGGCCACAACTTATATTGTCAATTGGCAAGCCCAGGTTTCCATTTATAAGAATGAGCAAGCAGAAAAAATCACTAAACCTAGAAAAAGACACCATAGTGCAGAAGGAGAGATCAACAGAACACCTTGAAATGGATTTACTGCAGGATACCAACAACATTTTAGAAAGTTTCTGATTCATGTTAACATGAATTTTGAAAAGCACTGCAATGATGATACTAGAGAGAGAACACTCAAAAAGGAGTAAACCCTTCCCTTGCAAATTTAGGAAAAGTTGAGTAGAGATGGAAAATCCACTAAACTGAAAACCTGAGTGGAAGGTGATGAGTCTCACAAATAGAATACCGTGGAGAGTTGAACAGGAAAAGTAGAGGTCAAACTCCAGGAATATACCCAGAACTCAGAAAAAAGATAGTGATCTTAAAATAATGGGAGAGAAAATGGAAGATAAGGAGGGCAAATCTAGGAGAAACAAATGGAATCCCAGAGGCCACATCATAGAAATTACAGGAATGAGAAGAAGGAATAGAATTGAGGCAATGGTGACTGATATGATAGAAGAAACCACTGGGGCTGAACCCACAGCCCCAAAGATCAAGAAAGAAAACTAGAGGAGAGAGAAAACACTAAATATTTCCTAGGAGATCTATAAGTAATTTACATGTAGAAATTTTATAGTAGAAATCTATGTTTTAAACATAACTGAGAAGTTTATGATTATCTAATGCAGAATAATGGATTATCCCCAAAGGAACAATAATTTCAGGCTGGCTTCAGGCATCTATCGACAAGATGACATTTTACAAGACAGTGGTTAGAGGGAGAAAAATACCATGTTATGGCTCAGACAGTAAGTAATCTGCAGAGCTTCCCTAAAAGATTCCTTGAAGATATACAGAAGTATGAATGAAATTTAAAAACCTGGGAAGGGGGAAGGGATATCAGTATAAAGGTGACCAGTATGTATGAGAATCAATTCTATACATTGTTGTTAAGATGATAGAAAAGGGGGTGATAATGTCAATAAATTCTTCTTAGGAAGACACAAAATATAAACATAATTTAAAACTTATTACCATTGTCTAAAATCTAAAAACCATGGGAGAAATGTAAAAGAAGGTTTAATTAGTTTTCCTCTTCTTCCCCTTCCTTATTCTGACAAATTATCTATCTATCTATCTATCTATCTATCTATCTATCTATCTATCTATCTAACCATGGGAGAAATGTGCAAAGAAGGTCAAATTAGTTTTCCTCCTTCTTCTTCCCTTCCTTTTGCCTTGACAAATTATCTATCTATCTTTGCCTGATCTAAGGAAATTCATTCATCTCTATCTATCTATCTATCTATCTATCTATCTATCTATCTATCTATCTTCTATCTATCTAATCTATGTAGATTATTTATATTGCTGATAATTGAAGAAAACAATGTTCAAATATTTTAAAATTATAGTGACTTTATTATTTTTTGATTATGAAAACATCACATGGTCACTGTAACTCATGAGAGAAAACCATTGCTAACTCTTTCCCACATATAAGTTCCATCATGGGGGCCTGGATGCTGTCCATTTCTCTGTGAGAACAGTGCATAGCATTTGGTGGGTGCTCCATCAATTCTACGTTCAAGTAACCAACTTCTAGAGACTGTAACAGTTAGTTACTGTACACGTCATCTTTGGTGGCAGGAGATAGGAGATATGTAGTGTAAGAATAGAACAGGGAGTCTACGAGGACTTATTTAAAAAAAATCCCTCCAGGACAAGGCACAGACTCCCAGTCATTATTTAGGATCTTCTGAAATAAGAATCAAACTGAAATTTGTTTCCTCCACCTGTACACCCTCTCCTGCTCCTCAGACAGGTCCACGTTTTCCATACCTTGAGTGACTAGGTAAGATGGCTTTGTCTAAAACCAGGGTTAGCAAACTATGGCCTGCGGGCCAAATCTTGCCCCTTAACCATGTGGTTTTTTAAATGACCCATGAGCTAAGAATGGTTTTTAGATTTTTTTTTAATGGTTGAAAACTATTTTTAAAGAGTAAACACCGCATGTTCTCACTCATACGTGGGAATTGAACAATGAGAACACTTGGACACAGGGTGGGGAACATCACATACCTGGGCCTGTCGTGGGGTAGGGGGATAGGGGAGGGATGGCATTAGGAGATATACCTAATGTAAATGACGAGTTAATGGGTGCAGCACACCAACATGGCACATGTATGCATATGTAACAAACCTGCACATTGTGCACATGTACCCTAGAACTTAAATTATTAAAAAAGGGGTAATATTTCATGATATGTGAAAATCCTTTGAAATTCAAATATTAGTGTCTATAAATAAAGTTTGTTGAAACATAGCCAAGCTCATTCATTCACTTACTGTCTGTGGCTGCTTATGCATTATGACAGCAGGGTTGAGTAGCTGCAGTATGATCTGCAGAGCCTGAAATATTTTCTATCTGGCCCTTTACCAAAGCAGTTTGTCAACCTCTTCCCCAGAACTTTTGGCCAACTCCTCTACTGGGACAACGAAGACTCATAGGCACCATTGTGATTGCTATGTGTCTGCCATAGTACATATCTACTGAGAGACACATCAGATGTCTGTTTGCTTATTTCCCTTCAGCTGCCCAGGCGAGTATAAAATTGAGGGCAGAATGAATAGATAATAATGTTTTCTTATTTTTCCCATAATGTACAAGTGTCCTACAGTTGATGAAATGTTGAATATGATAAAAATCTTGCACTTTATATGTCACTCTTTCCTTATTTCATGTACATTATTATTAATAGTAGTTTGATTATTTCTATCAGAAACTACTGGAAACAAATTACTTGTCCGTTCTGCTTTGTAGTATTATTTTTTTTTCTGGCAATTTACTTATAAATGGATTGAAAACTTCCCCTAGTAAGAATTCTCTAATTTAGTAGGTAAGTTAGATTTTCTCTCACGTAGCAGGCAAGAGATGGTTCTCCTAATTAGTGGCTTAAATACTAATAGATTTGTTCTACTATCCTTGGAGCGTGGTGACAACTTTGGGGGCACACGATGGGCAGAAACTGCCTGGTGCATTTGCTCTTTGAAAGTACAAGCTCTGAAGCAAAATTTTCCCCCTTGAGTTAGAAGACTTTTACTTACCCAGTGTTAAAAAGCCAAAAACTAAAATGTCACCAACAAATGGAAATGTAGTATGTGCTAAATTACTGAGTATTTAGTAATTAATCCATAACTCACTTTCATAACAAAGTCCTTTCCATTGCCAATCAGTAATAGGTGTTTGAACGCTCTTACAAGCAGAAATATGTTTTCTCTGATTCCTTACTGATCCTCTCTTGAATAAAAGAGGACAGTCTATATCATTATTTACATGGTAGTCCTTTGTGCATCTGAAAACCAAATCTTCACCATTCTACAAATGGTTTTTAATTTCCTGCTATAATATTTTAAGCAAACCTTGAAGGGCCTGGTAATTCTCTTTCACAAAAGTAAGAAAGATTATAAATAGAATTAAGCCAACTTTGCCTATGGTCTGGTTTATTCTCCAGGAAGTTTCTCAGACCAAAATGCTTCCATTATTTTTTTCCTTGTAGGCTTAGGGCCTGCCTGAGCGATGGGAATAAAAGTTGTTAGGGGATAGCATGTGGGTATGCTGCCAGGGGGACAGAGGGGAAGCAAGTGGCATCTGGACAAGCCAATGACAAACGACCTATGTTATAACACTTAAGCTGTGACAAACACAAATCTTGAATTAGGGCTAATTAAAGAGATGAAATATGCAACAGGTGAAGACTTTATTTGCTTATGGTTTATGTGAAAAAAATCCTAGGGATTTAATTGTCAGTATTAACAAGGACCAATGCTAAAAAGCAGTTGACACAGGAAAAAAACCAAAGCCATGAAAATCTTGCTGCAGCAATAGACCACGGGAAATCCTACTCTCACTGTATTTTACTGTATTTATTCCACAGAATATGATATCAAATCTGGATGCTGCATTTTAAGTAGAACATTGAAAAATCATAAAGTGCTCAGAATGTGAAGACTGGAAATAATCTCTAACAGGCAATAAGAAAGATGTGGGATAATTTTTCCTGGAGAAGATAAAGCTAAGAAGAATATGGGAATGGTCTTCAAATATTTGGAGGGCTGTTATGAAAAAAGTGAGCCCATTTTGCGTAGGGGCACCTGCGGTGGAGTTAGAGCCGAAGCACTGGCTGTGATCCTCACCTGCCACTCACTGACTAGAGGACTTTGGACCATTTACCTAATCTCTTTGTGGCACATTGCATTGTCCAAAAAGTGGCTGCAGTAATGCCTCTGGTCCTACTTGCTCTTTGATCCCATCAAGAGATAGGGTCTCTGTCCTCTTCTTATGACCTTGAGTGGGCCTGCACTGACTAGAAGAGCACAGTAGAAATGATGCTATGTGACTTCCAAGACTATGTCAAAAAGGTTGTTTGGCTTCTGCCTGGCTCTCTGTCTTGGGGCACTTGCTTTTGGAGCCCTGAGCCACCATGTTGAGAAACCCAGACACCCTGATGCTGCCATGCTGAGAGACAAGTGAAGAGACTACATGGAGGCGGAGATGCTCCAGGCACTCCAGCAGCAGTCTGATTGCAACTGCAAGAGAGATGCTCAGAGAGAACAGTTGGGAAAATTGAGAGATGATAAAATGAATCTGCTAAGGATAGGAGTGGCTTATTATGTAGCAACAGAGCACTGGGACATTCTCTGAGCCTTATTTGTAAAGAGATTATGGTCCTAAGCTACAGAGAGAGTGTTGTACCAGGTAAATGAGATGCTCCATATCATGGTTTCATACCCACGCCAAGTGCCTTAATCATGACTGCTTCACAGGATGGGATGGATACCAGAAGCACAGGAGGCAGATGTTGGCTTATCCTGGAAAGATCATTTTAGCATTAGAACTGTCAAACAGGACAGGAGCCACTTCAGAAGGTGTGCCCCAAGGACTGCAGATATTCAGGCTGGATGCTTATGAATGTGTCAAGGGTGTCCCTCACAGGACACTTGCAGTGGGTAAGAGTCAGACTCGCAAGCAGGTGAAATCTCTGATCCTGGATTGAACTTGTTTTGCTATAATTTTGAAGTTCCTCTTTCTTTAGGTATGCATGGAATTAGCCTTGTTATACCATACACGTATCTCTGTAAACAACCCCATATCCTTTTTGTAACAAGACAGAACAGATAAAAACAAACAAACACCATCAATTAATATTTAGCAAAAATAACAACTCTGGGGATTCCATAGAAAGCTCATTCCACAAATATTTAAAATATGTTAAACAATAACTCTTAAGTTATGGTGAGAATTAATAAAAGACCTCTGACCATCTAGCAATCTGTTTAAAGAGTTTATACAACTTATATTTTTACCCTTTAATACAAAAAATATTAAATCAATGCATTATTGGGCGCCTTATAGCACTATACCTTGAAACATGTTCTATAGCATCCTGGAAGAACACCAACTTTACTTCTTTGGGATTTGTGAGATTATAATCATCAAGATAGTCCTGTAGAACATTTGCAATTTTCTCTATATCAGGCATGTCATCATAAATCCGATCAGCTTTATCTGCTCCAAACTATAATTTATGGGAGAAGAACCAAGTTGGATTAATTCTGATAGACACATAACCTGGAAAATCCATTTCATTTAACTTTTTCAAGAGCTACACTGGAATTTTGAAGGTCTTTGCAATAAAACTTACATAGGAGCTCAGAAACAGGGTTTTGATTTTTCTCACAATGCTACATTCCGATTTCATTTTTTTTTTTTTTAGACGGAGTCTCTCTCTGTTGCCAAGGCTGGAGTGCAGTGCAGTGATCTCAGCTCACCACAACCTTCGCCTCCTAGGTTCAAGTGATTTTCCTGCCTCAGCCTCCTGAGTAGCTGGGATTACAGATGCCCACCACCACTCCCAGCTTATTTTTGTATTTTTATTATAGACGAGGTTTCACTATGTTGGCCAGGCTGATCTCGAGCTCCTGACCTCAAATGATCCGCCCGCTTCTGCCTCCTGAAGTGCTGGGATACAGGTGTCAGCCACTGTGCCAGACCTGGTTTCATTTTTTTGTTGTTAGGTTATTGACATTGGAAAAGCTAACTGGTTAAAAACTATGCATAGCAGACTGCTATTATTATAAAAAATCATGCCAGAACTATTTGTAGTTTTTAAATAGCAGTCATCTAGGGTTACCTAAATTGTTGAGAATTAAATTCAGGTATAAACTGCAGGGAGTCGAGTCCTTGTTTTAATCTATTGATGATGTCCCTTCTCTATTGTATGTAGCAACTGCCCCAGGGGCACTTTCTCTTGGACTGTTTTACTAAAACACAACACAAGCAATGCAAGAAGAGTCTAGCTGTTCTTTTTCTGTTTATTCTCTCATCTGATAATACAATCAACTAGAAACACACAGGAAAAGAATCTTCGAAAACAAACTTTGGACATACTTTTAATAATAAACATAAATACATACTTTACAAAAATACATAGTTTATCTTTTTTATTTGTCAGTGGTAATCCTTATCTAGAGTGGAGTTACCAGAGTGGTGAGGTATTGCATACATATAATATAATGATGAGTTCCTTCATGTGTTGAACTAGCATTGATTGAGAGCCTGCTACGTACCTCTGTGCAGGAACCTGGGAACTTAAGATGAACAAAACTAGACGTGGTCTCTGCCCTCTTGGAGACACTGGGAATGTTTTACTCAAACAAGAGGCACCTTAGTAAAACAACATGGCTATCTGCCAATGTAGGCAGGGCAGTGAGATAGCAGATTTATTCTAGGCAGGTCAAGAGGGTAAAATTTACCAGAGGGTAAAATTAGGTCCAGAGGGTAAAAATTAGACAGACAGTATTGCAGAGATGGGCTTGAGGAACTCATAAGGGAATAAAAGGAAGTTAAATATAAAAAAATTGCTACTAATTAGAGTTACTCTTAAATGAAGAGAACAATTCTCTTAACTAAGTAGCTTCACTACGTAGAGTACAATAAGGGGGAAGTCGTGAGTTAAGAGACTAGACCTCTCTGCTTCCTTCCAAACTGAATACCTGATAGCTCTCTGATTCAAACCATTACCAAAATGAATGTAATTAGACCAGGAGTCAGCAAACTTTTTCTGTAAAGGGCCAGATAGTACATATTTTAGGCTTTGCAGGTCATATGGTCTTTATCACTACTACTGCACTCTGCTGTTGTGGAGCAAAAGCAATCATATGAAAAAATCATATATATAAATGGCTGTGGCTATGTTCCAAAGAATTTTGTTTACAAAAATAGGTGGCAGGCAGATTTGGCTCATGGGACATAGTTTGCTGACACCTGGCCTAGATCTTAACTCTTCACACATGTGAAGTTTTTACAGAATATAAATTTGAATTGGAAAATAATAAATGCTTTATAATTTTCAAATGAGGTCAGGTCACTTTAACATACTTGCCTTAATGAAATCTCCAAATATGATGGGCTTGTTCAAAAAATATTCCAGGTCAATTGCAATTCCAAAATGTTTGTCTATTTAAAGAACAAAACCAAGTTTTTAATATAATGATAATCTTGAATGGAATATTTTAGTGATAAAACATACAAAATAACAGCTGCTACTTTACTCAGAAGACTTAATTAATATATATGAAAACTGAGAGAATGCTGTGTTAACTCCATGCCGCTTTAGTTTAGCTGATAATCTCCCAAGTTTAAGATTAAGAATACTTAACAAATAATTTAAAACACTTGTTAAATAATGAATATTGGATACTTATTTAAGAAATAGGAAGTATTTTAAAATTATCCTGGCTTTTGTTTTTTTTTGAGACAGTCTTGCACTGTCACCCGGGCTGGAGTGCAATGATGCAATCTCAGCTCACTGCAACCTCCGCCTCCTGGGTTCACATGATTCTCTTGCCTCAGCTTCCTGAGTAGCTGGGATTACAGGTGCACACCACCACATCTGGCTAATTTTTTGTATTTTTAGTAGAGACAGGGTTTCACTATGTTGGCCAGACTGGTCTTGAAATCCTGACTTCGTGATCCGCCCACCTCGGTCTCCCTAAGTGCTGTGATTACAGGTATGACCACTGTGCCCGGCCTATCCTGGCTTCTTACCAGACAAAATGCTCTTTCTCCTACTTTCTCTCCCTACTTAAAACTTCATAATAAATTAAAATACTAACACTTCCTGAATTTATTTATTTATTTTGGTATTTTTAGTAGAGATGGGGTCTTGCCTTGTTGCCCAGGCTGGTCTCGAACTCCTGAGCCCAAGGGATCCATGTATCCAACTACCCAAAGTGCTGGGATTATAGGCATGAGCTACCACGCCCGGCTGACCTTTCCTGAATTTTAATAAAATTATTTTATAATATTGCATAATATTTCATATATTTTAATATATATTTGAACCTTCAAAGAAAATAACTTTTACTCATAAATTATGAAAATTCTTTTTGTGTTAATTGTTCTTTGTGGAAACCAAATTGCTTTTCTAATCAAGTAAAAAAAAAGAATAGGTAAAGATTCATATTTACTGGCCATTTCTGTCAGAATAACATGGAAATATTGCTTATCTTCATTATTAATCAAGCGATCGTGGAAGACTCTTTGGCACTCATGGCAAAAGAGCCTAAATATCTGGATTTCTTCTCTTATTGTTCCTGGATCACATTGGAGGATACCTGTTTTTTAAGAAAAGAAAAAAAAAAAAAAAAAGAAAAATTCTACATTTGTAGAATCTCCAGTAATAGTTTAATTAGGAAATCCTTAAGTACAACTTCACCCTCACATTGCCAAAAATGACTGCTTCCCCAGTGGATATACACATATACGAATAGTGACCTCATTTTTCGATAACAACATTGGGATATATTATTTGACAAAGACATTTCTGTCCCTGTTTTGTGATGTTTCTTTAACTGAGCATGTGAAGTGGTCAGACTCCACCATGTAAGCAAGTGGATCCCATTGTTACATGAGCTGCAATATGCTAAGTGAAGGGCCTCACGTTACTTTAAAATAGACTGAAGTATATGTATTTACTTATCTTGCAACTTTCCTCCTCCCAAGGATTATACTGTTTTTGAAACTCCCATTTCTCTCTCTTTCCCAATGTCAGTCCTCACCAAATGCCCCTGGCCCTTCCAGCTTCCACTAAGATTATTCTGAGTACTCATTTCATTAGCGTAAATTGTTACTGCAAACACAGTTCTAATAATTTCAAGTTACAATCAAAGCAACAATATACAGGAATTTCTGGAAATGGTACTTCTCCACAGAGACCACCAATACGGGGCTCCTCACACTGTAGACGGGGGCAGGGAGAGTGTCTACTGTGCACGTGGACACACACAGCAGAGAGTGGGTACCACACAGCATGGTAGGTACTGCTCATGTTGCTTTGGAATACTAGGGTATTTCTGTAGATAATGATGCTACCTGTTTTTTGCATCTCACGTTTGTGTTTGTGTGTGTGTTTGACATATATGTTTCTTGAAACGCTTGAAGTTTTTTTTTTTTTTATTATACTTTATGTTCTAGGGTACATGTGCACAACGTGCAGGTTTGTTACATATGCATACATGTGCCATCTTGGTGTGCTGCACCCATCAACTCATCATTTACATTAGGTATATCTCCTAATGCTATCCCTCCCCCCTCCCAAATGCTTGAAGTTTTAATTATTTTCAGTTAATATTTGTAGAAATAAGGAAATTTCTAGGACTTTTGATGAAATGCAGAACCAAGGAGAAAGAGATTCAACATTGGAATTTCCTGTGTATATTATGATGTGTCATTTCAGAAATAAAGTGGATCCTGAATTTTGAAGCTCAAAAATTATCTTAAAAATAGGAATAGAAAGGCAATGGGGAAGGATAATAAATAAATGACAAGATTAGACAATGTCTGAGGATCAGTAAGTGAGTGTGAAGCAGTTCATGAAAGAAACGAAGTCATATTCTAATGTTTTCTAGGAAAATTGAGTTCATGAATAGCAGGACTAAACTGCTAGTATAAGAGGGCATGATTTCAGCGGAGGAAGAGGAAAACAAATTATTTTGTCATCCTGTGGCAAGGATGGTGTGCCAGCTTTGACAGTCCTTCAGGCTGTTGAAGGAGGAAGAAAAAGAAAAGAGTGACAGAGCTTTCAAATCGGGAGTTGGAAAGATCAGGAACCTGTGTGAGAACTGTGCATTAGGGAGGAGCAGGAGGGGTTTGCAGGGTTCTTAATGCCTAAGCTCCTGCCATGGGCCAGCATCTCTTAGTTCATTCCCAGACTTGTTAATGCACAACAGGTAATGACTTAGATTGTGATGAAGACAGGAAGGAGAGCTAGCTTTCAAAGAGGCCAGTCATTGCTTCACAGGAAAGCACTCTGCAGCTTCTACTTTAGCTACTTTGCAGATATTAAAAACAAACTTATAAATGTTAGTTAGAATCTTTTTAGAGAAAAAAAATATTGGCTGGGCACAGTGGCTCACGCCTGTAATCTCAGCACTTTGGGAGGCCGAGGCAGGTGAATCACCTGAGGTCAGTAGTTCAAAACCAGCCTGACCAACATGGCAAAACCCCGTCTTTACTAAAAATACAAAAATTAGCTGGGCATGGTGGTGTGCACCTGTAATTCAAGCTTCTTGGGAGGCTGAGGCTGGAGAATCACTTGAACCCAGGAGGTGGAGGTTGCAGTGAGCCGAGATTGCGCCACTGCACCCCAGCCTGGGCAACAAGAGTGAAACTCTATCTCCAAAAAAAAAAAAAAAAAAAAATTAAGAGTGGTGTAGAACAAAGGGCACTGGATGGGGAATCAGGGAATGAAGCAGATCATGGAGCAACTAAGAGTTAGTGTCCTTGTATACAAAATCAGGGGAGATTTGTTTATTCGTCTAGACATACATTCATTCAGTGCCAGGCCCAGTTAGGCACTGGGATACAGTGGTGAACTAAGCATACAGCCCTTGGGAAGCTGACATCCGAATGGGAGAGACAGATACATAAACACACATATATGCGAGAAATATGTGCGATATGATTACAGGTAATAGGAGCTATGAAGGGACATGGGACAGTTTTGCTGAGGAGGTGACTTTGAGGAGGGAAAGTGAGCCATGTGCGTATCTGGTGTCAGAGCATTGCAAGTGACATACAGAGGTCCCTGGGCAGGTCCGATTTCAGGAATGGCAAGGAGGTGGCAGTAGCAAGGAGGAAAGTGGTAGGCAATGAAAGGGAGAGGGAGCCCGGAACCAGATCACTCAGAGACTCAACACAGGCAGGTGCTGGAAGCAGCCTCAAGAGGGTCTCAACAGGGCCCATGGTTGGCTGCTGTGCAGAGGGCAGAGCTTGGTCCCTTTGAACAGGGTAAATGGACAACCGGAAGCAGGAGATCAGAGAAGAGGTTAGAGGGGTAGTGGATGGAGTGGTGAAGAGTGGTTAGATTCGGGATATATTCTGAAAATAAAGCTGTCAGGATTATTCGTGGATTGCACAGGGGTTTTCAAGGTTCCTGGCGAGAGCAACTAATGGTAGTCTCCTCTGGGGCCGGGGTACGTATGGCCAAGGTGGAGGCGAAAAGCAAGAGTTCCATTTAGACATGCCAAGTTTAGCAGGCCAGCTGGATGCCTGAGGGCGCACACTGAGAAGGAAGCTGGATATGCAAGTCAGACTCTTAGAGTAGGGGTGGGAGCTGGAGGCAGGCACTCTAGTGCCATCTCTGAGTAGACGGTATTTGACAATATAGAACTGACCAAAATTACTGAGGGAATATGTGTGTAGATCTGAAGACCGAGCCCTGTGGCCCCAACATTTTGAGGTAGGGAAAGGAGGAGCAGCTATCAAAACAGACTGGGCGACAGCAGGCAGTGAGGGGGGACCGCAGGAGAGCCTGCCCTGGACCACTGGAGAAGGTGGGGAGCGGCGAGTTGTGTGGACGCTGCTGTGAGGTTAAGGTGCCGCTGAGAGCTGACCAGTGAATCTGAGCAGATGGAGACAGGATTCAGGTAGAGTGCAGTGTTGGGAATCACATTTTGATTGACATATGTTAAAGGGAGAACTGGAGGGAGTAAGTGAGACAGGGAGGAGAGACCATACTTTTAGCGTTCTTTCTAGAAAGAGCAGAGAAATGGGAGGGGTACCATCAGGGGATATGGGACTTACAGAAATCTTTTTTTTTTTTTTTTTTTAAGATGGGAGGTATGATAGTGGCTTTTTATGCCATTAGGCATGATCCAATAAAAGAGGAAACTTTGAAGATGAGAAGAGAAGTGGGAATTATGATAGCAAAATCCTTGAATAGACAGGAGGGTATTGGGTTCAGTACTAGAAGGAGCAGTGGCACTGATAGATGCAGGGGCAGCTCAGCCCATGGAAGGAAGATGCAGGTTGTCTGAGAGATTTAGAAGATGAGGTAGCCCTGGTCCAATTGCTTCTATTTTTTTTTTTTTTTTTCAGTGAAAGACAAGTAATCAGCTGGGAGTGAGAAATGGGAGGCAGTGTTGGCCATGTGAAATAGTTGTAAAGCACTCAGGCTGAACAGGAACAGGTGATGGGATTTCTGGGTGAGTCACAGAAAACTGCATACATACAATGTTACTGAGAGATTTGGGGGCCAATGGAAAAGAAGGGAGGGTGCAGATCAGAAAATGAGGGTTCAGTACACTACCTTGCACACATTTGGATAAGTCCCTCAAGTTAAAGACGTAATGGGACTTGGCAGGTGTTGGTAGGAGGTCAACACTCATTTTGTTATAAATCTCAACTGAGGCTTCTACAATGCTTGATGCAGTTTGCTTTACAGCTGGTGGAAAGTCACTCAGGAAACCATTTAAGATGGCCTAGAACCAGAAACATAATATGAGAAGATTAGATTTATTTTAAACCAAATATCTATCTTTTAAGTACTCCAGATGACATGTTTTCTAATAACAGAAAGCCAAATTCCAACACAAAGTCTTCTGGTATCAAAGCTCTTCTGCTTATTTCAGAAAACATTCTCGAGGATGCACTCACTCCTGTCTTCTGTGATTGTTTTGTGACACCTGAGTGGCATTCATATCTGATTAGTGAATTTACATGAACGTACTCTCCAGTAATTTAGACCTCTGCTTGAGGTGAGTCCAAGGGGTAATCAAGAAGGGCACAAACCCACCTGAAAAAGAACAGAAACCCTCTTTCTCACTTTTATGGACGAATGAGCACCACTCTCAAAGATTTTCATCTTCATGTATATTTCAAATGTGACTTACTTGCAATGGTGAACCCCTTCACATTCAGCTTCCCCATTTCAGTAGCTGGCCATTCCCTTCTAAGCTCAGATCAGGAGCTTGGAAGTCTCTTTAGACACCTCCCATTCTCTGTCCCGCACAATCAATCTTGAACACATTTCTTGGGTCTGTTTGCTTCTCTCTGTTTCCCTGGACATCACCCCATTCTGGGCTCCACTCTTTTAAATCTGGGTTTCTCCCCTCTCTCCTTTGCTCTGGCCTCTCCACTTCCATCCTGGTCTCCCTGCCGGTCCACCCTTCCCCCAGCTCCCTCACTTCGCCCCTCCCTTCCATTGCTCCCTGTGTCCCCGCCACACTAGTCTGAACACCCGCGCTCCTTCCCATCTCAGGCCTGTGCACTACTGCTCCCCTCTCTCTGTGCATAGCCCTCTCTGATTGCCAGGTGCCTTTTCATCCTTCATGTTTTAGGTTACATGCCGTCTCTCCAGAGAGGCCTTTCCTGACCACTCAATCTAAAACAAGTCCTCCCATCAGTCTCTCTGATCTTCTCATCCATAACATCACAACTTGAACATGTGTATTTATTAACTAGTCCTTGACTCCCAAGTGCTTGGAAAAATCATTATTGTTTTTTAAATAGATAAATTCTTATCACCATTAACCTTGGGGTAACTCATGGGAGAAGCCACCAGAATGCATATCTATGTTTGCAAGTTAGTCCAATCTGAAGTTGTGACTTCAGATTTGGTGTCATATATGAGATCTTTTGAAATAAACCTGAGTATTTGTTTTCAGTGGGCATCCTGTTTAAAATTTGCTTTAACTTGTGAGGATGACCTCTTTAGGTATCCCCTCCTGGGACCCCAACATGAGTTTAACATACTCCACATGGTCTGTATTTTATGTAGGACCATCCCAAACCCAATCTTTAAATTTGATGAAAATCTGTCCATTTGTATGTGTATGATGGAGAAGAGAAAAGCTGATAATTTTATCTATATATATGTTATAGGTAGGTAAAAAGCTCCAGCCTTCTCTTCTCCATGACACAAATACAAATACAAATACAAATACAGTTTCTAACTTATGCATGAGTAACTGTGTGTCTGTATCTAGATATCTCACTCATCTATTCATTATCTGCGTCTGTGGAAGAAGATCCATGAGGACAGGGATTATACACCAATGTCAGGCGTATGGAAGGTGCTCAACAAATATTTGTTTAATGAATGAATTAAAGGCTACTAATTGGTACCATACATTAAAATTAGCGTATCATTATAAAATTTACTGAGGACCACAGCCTGATATTCTACTTAAGGATCTGGCTTACATGATCTGCCTGGCAACTTTGCAAAACTCTTACTAAGAACATGCACAAGACAGAGGCAGATTTCTCAGTTTTGGGAGAAGGATTCTTTGGCATAAGCACATTATCACTAGTTTATGGAGCCAATCATGGTTTTCAGTTACTGCTGTTATAGCTTTCTAACTAGAAATTTCATTAAATTTAATTTACCTGGTTGTGTGCTGTTCAGTTCACCCTTAGAGTGTATAGTGATGCATATTTTGGCACATACATTTCCAATAAGTAAACACTCAGGTTTGTGTGAACTGTGTGGTCCAAGAAAGAGTCACTTATAATGTACATATTCCAACTGAGCAAACCGTGACTGGTTATTAGTGATGTGCTCCCTGCATATATGCACTGTTTAACTAATTTGCAATAGACTATCAAAGAAAGTATAATGATAGGACTAATTGTGTTAACACTAATAGGTGATTGAAAACATTATATATAATATACATGTACAATTTAGATTCATAGGCTTCTTTTATATAGTAGAAATAAATCTATTTATATATGTTGCTAACAATAAATTAGCTTATTGATTTTGCTCTTCTTCAATTCTTGACTACATCCAAGTTCTTTCTCCTCCAAACAGTAATGAAGGACAGGACAGATGGGTGATGAATTATTGGGTCCTGCTTAGGTGGGCTGTGATGAAAAATGAAGTTTGAGATCCATGGGCCTAGAGCAAGTTCTTTTTTCCTACAGGCAAAATACCCTGTCCATTGTAATGACAGCAATATTCTTTCCCGCCTGAATTCAGCCCAACCCGGTAGCCCCCAGAATCTCGCAGTTTTGCAACGTATCATTTCTATTTCCCCTTATAGCTAGTGTGGGTTTTAAATGTAAACCTGTAAAGTTACAGTGGGAAGAAGCAGCTCTATCACAGCCAGTTTTCAGCTGTGATGTGCTTGCTGGACGATGTTCCCATGGGTGACACATTTCCATGGACATGATAATCCCACAGGAGGTTGAGAGTTGGGGACCTTGCCTTTCCCAGTGGCCCAGACTTCACTGTATTCTTCTCACCCACAAAATGGAAATCATTCCATTTTGGAATGATGAAGAATGACGTTTTTGTAGTCATAACCCTGAATCTGCTTTAACTTAATAAAAAATGAAACAATTTGCAAATTCAGTTTCTTCTAACCAGGCATAAGTTTCTTGAGACACCCCTCACCACTCATCACATCACAGTGGATCTGTGGTGTGGTTGGGAATCACGCACTTCAAACTTCAAAATATAAATACAAAAGTTCTCAGAAAAAGTGTGCAGGGGCTTAGACAACCCCTCTAATGGCTTTGGTGGTTCCTGTTATGTCTTGTTCTGTACTCTGGTGCTTAATTATAGGAGCTAAGCTCCCATCCTTTCATATTTTCTAAAGCACTCTCCCAAAGTTTTTCAAAATGTGGCAGTTTTTATATATCTTTGTGGCATTGCTCCTAAACAGCTTATTGGAACTACTTCAATTTATTAAAAATAATTTCCCACAGAAATAAGCTATTTAAATGCAAACAGAAAACTCCTTTCCATGTACTGAAGGTTGTATACATGTGGAGTCTGTCCCTCTTGAGAGAGGGCTTCCACTGGAAGAAGTCGATGCTGGTAATTGCCACATCCTTGGGCATCACTGTCCACATTACTGTCATCAGCTTCTCCAGGCCAGTCACCTGAACTGTCTTATTCTACCTTTGCACACACCTTACCATTTCCTGCCTCTGCAGTTGCATTCACCCAGCACTTCCTGTTCCTAAGATCCGTTCCTCCCTGTCAATTCCCAGCATCCCCAAGCCTCAGCTCACAATCTCTCTTCTCTAAAAAACCTTTGCAGGTTGGGTATGCGGGGCTTTAGTCATGCTGCTTCATATTCTCTTATTATTCTACTCAAAATAATGCCTCACAATCTGTTGAGCACTTGTAGGGCAGGTGCTATTATTTTTCCCATATAAAGGATGGAGAAGTAGCCCTTTAGGGAAGTTAGTACAGGTGGACAAAATATAGGTTATTGTTCTTTGTGAGAGTGGCCAAGGAGATGAGTTCTGTTTTAGGTGTGTTGAGCTTGAGCTCTCTGGCATATCAGGTGCCAAGTTTGGTGGCAAGTGGACACACAGACCTGGTGGTTAGGTATGAGATGAGCACAAAGGCAGGGGCTGGGTAGTGATGAGATCTACTAAGAACTGTGTGTGCAGTGCTAAGTGGCAGGGACCTAAGATGCAGCCTTCTCTAAAGGTAGGGGTTTTGTTTGCACAATCTTTCTGCATTTCTAGAACTCTCTGAGACCAACAGATACAGAAGGCAGTGATGCAAATGCCTGCCAGCTACTCTCCAGGAGTCCATATTTACCTGCTTCCTGCTCAGGAAAGAGATGGATAGATGGACTCCTTAGAAACACAAGACACCACTTTGATTGTGGGAGGCTTGGAACACATATGTTTTCTTTTCCCCCTTTTGCCTAAGTTAAAATCAACACTCACCTGAAAAATCTGTTTCAGACTGTGTTCTGAGGGCATTGGGAGGCACAGCATGCTGAAATGTCTGATGAAGCGGGGAGTCACAGGGTTGCGGCCACCGCCTGGAGGTGCACATGCTGATACAATTGTTACATCCTGTGTGCAGAGAAATCCACTTGGATCACTCATCAGAGAACGAAATGAGACCTGCCTATCCCAATGGTAGGACTTCCCAAATGCCAGCATTGCATTACATTTTTTGTGTATGTTAAATGACTTCTCACAATCACTCCAAGAGACCACTGTAATTACACCTATTTTATAGATTAAAAAACCAAGGCCCTGGATGGTTAAGTAAATTGCTCAAGGTCACTCAGCTGATTCATCTATTTATATAAATACCTTTATGTGAAACTGTAATCTTAAAAACTTTGTTATCTGAAGATAAAATATAGCCATTCTTGCAACAAATATTCATTATTCATGGTAGTTAAATTTAGTAAAGTTGGCTGGAGCACTGGATTAGTGGATACTGAAACACCGCTCCTAGGGTTAGGTTTCTGTGAGTCTCTGTGATAACATTTTTGTCAACTGACCAATACATAACTTTGTTTTATGTGTGTTTCTGTTTAAAACGCCTTATTTTATATTGTTGAGTCATTAACATTGAACTCATGGACCACAGCACTATTACTCATGCCTAAATGAAATTTATCAAATTCATTCATTTTTTTCAGTGAGGCACATCACAGCCTTTTTGTGTTTAGGAATAGTAGACAGCACTTTAGCACTACACTTGGGCCATTTTAAATAGCAAAATCACCAACAGAAGGCATAAAAATGTGAAAATGTGGCCTCCAGTAGACTGCGTAAAGGGCAGTTGTTTACAGCACGAGAGCTGAAAAAGAAGGCAGAGTGTTGTCTTGTTCCACCTCATTGGGGAACTGTGAGTTGGATGGCTAGAATGTTTTGCCACTCCGTACATGTCTGCAAAAGACAGAATAAGTGCTACGAATATTGATTTTGCAGTTACAAATTTTTGTGAGCAGGTGAATCTTCAAACATGGAATCCACAAATAGCCTGGGCTATTGTGAATTAAATGGAAAACAAAAGCCCTGTGGGTCTAATGGAGAGAACATGCCACCTACTCCATCTGAAAGCAGCTTTAGTGGGAAGGACAGAGGTTAATACCATAAATCAATGATCTTAAAAATAAATGTACAACTTTGGGAGGCTGAGGCAGGCAGATCACTTGAGTCCAGGAGTTCAAGACCAGATTGGGCAACATGACGAAATCCTGTCTCTACTAAAAATTCAAAAAATTAGCCAGGCATGGTGGCATGAGCCTGTGGTCCCAGCTACTCAGGGGGCTGAGGTGGGAGGATTCCTTGAGCCCTGGAGGTTGAGGTTGCAGTGAGCCTCTATTGTGCCAGGGCAGTCCAGCCTCAGTGACAGAATGAGACCCTGTCTCAAAAATAAAATAAAATAAAATAAAATTGCAATAAAAATCACAGTAAGTTTTTTGAAGGAAAGGGATATAATGCTGAGGTAATGCTTGATGGGGGAACCTTACTTAGTCTGTGGGTCAGAGAAGATTTGGCCAAGGAAATGGTACTTGCAGTGGAGAGCTGGAAGCTGACAGGAGCAGAGGACAAGGCCATAGGGGTGAAGGGGGCAGATGCATTTCTGGTGAAGTGAAGAGTGTGTGCCAATTCCTTTGGTAGGAGGAAGAATCTGAAGACCAAGAGGAAGGCACTCTTGATCTCAGCTCTACAGTACCAAGGCTTGAGGTGGTACCAAGGCTGTCTCTATGTGAATCAGTTCCAATAAACAACGGCTTACTATGTACAAGGTATTAAGCTTAGCAGGGGCCATAAAGATGAGGGAGATGGAGGTCAGGAGCTCAGAGTCTAACATGAAGGAATGCAACACAAGATGAGCACATCAACAGCTGTGACTCAAGATAGAATGTGAAGGCCATAAAGACACACACAGTGCTCCATGTGGGTGAAAGAGGAGCTCACACTGGAAATGGGGGTTTAAGGAAAGACCTTGTGAGCAAGGCAATTTAGAGATGGGCGTTGAAGGAGTATGAGGATTACAAGGGAAGAGCTGGAGAGAAGGGCCCTTCCAGGTAGAGGACACTATCACAAAGGCATGCGGTGGAGGATATGGGTGCATTCAGGAGACATCAAGCCTTCTGCCTCAGTGGGACTGTGGGACATGTGCAGGGAGCAGCAAAAGACCCTTGGATCAGAGCAGCCATTCACAGCCATATATGGGAGCCTCAGAGTGCCAGGGCGAGGCATTTCCACGTGATTTGTTTGGCAGAGAGTAGCCACTGAGCACTGGCCTGGTGGGAGGTTTGGCAGTCATTCCCTTCCCACCCTCATCCCCAATGGCACTGAGTCAGGGGAATTCTAAACCTGCAAAGGACACGTGATATTCTCTCCTCACTGTGTTGTTGGGAAGATAAAGTTAGATAAAATTATTTGGAAAGTAAAAAAACCTTATATGCAAAAGACTGCTTTCTTTATAAAGAGGCCTAATTATATTCTCTTTTTAGGAAAGGTTTTCCTGTTTAATACAGGCTGTAAATACAGTCTGGAAGAAGACAACTGCTGACTGCTTCCCAGGAACTGAATACAGGTTCATCTTCCATCCAGGACTTCCTGTGTTGGTGAATGAGGCCCCTTTCTCAGGACCTACTACCTTCGCCCCCATCAGTTTTCACCTATGCACAGCTTGAACCCTCTCTTCAGTCTCCATTTATCCCTCTGCCTCTTACACTCATCTTATTTTTCACTTCAAAGAATGTTTATGCCTTATTTAAGCTCTCATTTTGATAGACAGAAAGTGCTCTACCTGGATTTCCCAGGGAACTGGAGCTTAGCAACGTGGGCAGGGAGGAATCTTAGCTGAAATCACATTTTCAGAAGCCGAATGGCCTGGGCTCTAATCCCAGTTTTGCCACTTACGAGTAGTGTGACCTTGGACCAGTCACATAACTCCATACTCTTGGCCTATTTCTTGATCTATAAAACAAGGCTGATAGCATTATCCATCTTGTAGGGATGTTGGGTGCTAGCAGGTGGGAAACACTTAGAATAGTGCCTGGTACAAATATTTGTTTTTATTGTGAGCAAAACTAAACATGCCCCCTGCCCTCTTCTTGTCAAGCATGTTGGTTTCTGTTCTCCAGAACAGAAATGGGGCAGTTAGCCTAGGTTCCCCCTCCTCCCTCTTGACTCCATACCCCACCTGTGATGGTTAATACTGAGTATCAACTTGATTGGATTGAAGGATACAAAGTATTGATCCTGGGTATGTCTGTGAGAGTGTTGCCAAAGGAAACTAACTTTTGAGTCAGTGGGCTGGGAAAGGCAGAATCACCCTTAACCAACCCTTAAATTGTGGGCACAATCTAATCAGCTGCCCGTGGAGCTAAACTACAAGGAGGCAGAAAACTGTGAAAAGAGTGACTGGCCTAGCCTCCCAGCCTACATCTTTCTACCATGCTGGATGCTTCCTGCCCTTGAACACCGGACTCCAATTTCTTCAATTTTGGAGGTTGGACTGGCTGTCCTTGCTTCTCAGTCTGCAGATGGCCTATTGTGGGAAGTCGTGATCATGTGAGTCAATACTTAATAAACTCCTTTTTATGTATATATATATCTATTCTGTTAGTTCTGTCCCTCTCAAGAACCCTGACTAACACACCACCAGTCCTGCTGGTCTGCCTTCTGGCTTCTAAACCCTTCCGACCACACGCATCACCCCAGGAGGCTCGACCCTCATCCCTTGTCCTCTAGGCTACTGCAGTTGCCTCTATTCTTGCTTCCTCTTTAGCCCATCCCTCCCCTGCAGCCAAGGGAATCTTTCCATAACATTTCCTTCAGCAGCTCCTCAGCACTTACAGGATAAATCCAGTTTCCTCCTCATGGGCCCACAGCACCATGGGATGTGACCTCTGCCTCTCCTGTTGCTTTGGTGCTCATATTTCACACCACCTTAGTATTTTACATTCCCCGCTTCTGGGGTATAAAACGTTCCCTTTCCCTGCTTTGGCATGCATGCCTTCAGAATCCAGCTCCAACATCACTTCTGGGAGGCTTCTCCCATCCTCAACCCAGCCCCACCCCTGAATCTCTCCTGCCTCTCCCCTCTCACCGCTCTGCATTAGAAATGTCTGTCCACCCTCTGAAGCTCTCTGGGAGGCAGGGACTGTTTCACTTGTTCATGGATCTCCTGAATCAAACATGGCAAAAACTCAATATAGACTGAATACATTGAATTACGAGAAGGAAAAACCGAGGCCACATGTTATGGGCTGAATTGTGTCCCCTGTCCCCAAATCGTATGTTGAAGTCCTAACTCGGCGTCTCAGAATGTGGCTGTATTTGGAAATAGGGTCTTTAAAGATGTGATAAACTAAAATGAGGCCACTAGGGTAAGCCCTAATCCAGCATGACGGGTGTGCTTATAAGAAGAGATTTGGACACAGACAGACACAGAGGGAAGCCTATATAAAGACACAGGGAAAGAGTGTTCAGAAGAAACCAATCCTGCAGACACCTTGTTCTTAGACGTCTAGTCTTCAGAATTATGAGAAAACAAACTACTGTTGTGTAAGCCACCCCATTTGTGGTACTTTGCTATGGTAGTCTCACAAAGTATACATCGTATTTCCTTGACATTTAAATGTAAGCACACCAAGTAATTTAAAAGCTAAAGTAACCTGTATTTCTTTCCAAAATAGTTTGTTTCTGTCATAAAATCCCCCAAAATCTTGATACTGCCGAAGTAATTCAATCGGAGGCTGAGAGCCATAGCGATCCAGTCTGGGCATGTTTAAATCATCAACAAAAATCACAATTCGTTTGTTTCCCGGTGCTCCTAGGGAAATAAAATGAATTTAATTTAAGAATTATGATTTTCCCCTAGAAAATGTAAGACAAAGCTAGGGTATGACTTTGGACTCAATGACATCCTATAGGTCATAAAGAGCTCAGTTCTGAGTCCTGCCCGGAGGAAGAGACTTCCTTCTGGCCCCACCCAGGTCCTTGCAGGAAGATGTGCTCCTGGTCAGGACATCCACGTTGTCATGCCAGGTGGCCCCTTATCCTCACTGTCAGGGCACAAGATGGTGGCCTCTCTCCAGCAAGGAGTGAACCTTTCTCTGTCTCAGTCACTGCCCTCAGCAACTGTGTGGCTTAGGCATGAGTGAGGAACATCAGTTTCTTTCCATAGTAGGAAGAGGAAGAATGCCAACGTTTCCTTTCATAAATGTCATCATGGCACCCTCAAAGGGAAAACAAATTAGATATTCAAAAGCATCCTGATCACATCAAAGGGAAATCCAGTGCAGTGGGGCTGCACAATGCCACATTTTAATAAATATACACACATTAGAAATACACACATTAGAAAAAGGAATGAGTGATAGCAGAGGAAAGAGAAACCCGACGGGCAAATGGCCATGTCTCTGCTGTTGAGATAATTACGGGAGGTGATTCCAAGGCAAACGGAGTGATTCACTCCATCCTGTGGCCCCCTGGAAGCCAAGTAGCAGGATGGGGGGGCAAGGAAGGGGTCTAAGAGAAACCTTTGTAAAAATTTGGGGCCCCCACCAGAAAATAGACTGGCATCTGTTGCCCCTTGCTTACCTGAGCAGGAGAGGGAGGACAGAAAGAGGAGGCAGTGAAGCAGCTGGCAGCACCATTGTTTGGCATGACAGGGCCTGCTAGATGGTGGGCAATGTGGGAGGCAGCCAAGCCTAAGCCCTGACTGGTGCACCACCCCAGAGACTGTGGACTGAGCAAGTGGGCCCCAGTTGCAAGAGGCTGCAGATGGACTGCTGGAGAGCGAGGGCTGAGGTCCTGACTCCCACCCTCAGGGAAACTTCCAGTGGTGAGGCCAATGCCTGACCTACAGTTCTTTTGGGAGTTGCTTACAAGAGCCCATTCCTGAAAGCCTGCCTCACAGACAGCATGGATACCACTCAGTGCCAGCTAAGAAGCAGGGACCAGGCACAGAGAGGCCCATCTGAGCACTGGTTAGAGAGAAGAAACTTGTCCTTTCCTTCTTCTTCTCCATTCCCTGCATACTCCAGCCTCCTACAGGGAAGGTGGGGAGGAGTGACGAGCATCCCATGACCCCTTCACCTCCAGTATGTACCTGCAGCCACAAACTTGGCTTATGACAGAGGAGAGGAGGAACTTTGAATTGGGTATCGGATTGAGGCTTAGACTGGCCCAGACTCCAAATGTCTGAAGGTGACCAGAAAGTTATGCTAGTTATCTAAGCAGTTAATAAGGGAGGGTGGGGAAGCTACCACAAAACCTGGCTGAAAGTACTGACTGAAGAAAAAACCAAAACAGTCTCATACTTATTCCTCACTGAGTTCAGATAACCCAATGTGCCACATATACAGAGGTTTGTTTATTTTAAATAAGGCGAAATCAGTGCATGTTGGAAGAACCTGGGTGGAGAGAGGGAGAGCCATGGAGAGGCAGAGACTGAAGATGTTCTGAGCTGAAGGTGATGATAGAAATAAATGACTTGCTTGGCAACACTAAGACATCTACATAGCTAGCATAAAAATGCCATCAACAGAATCACCTTTACAAATATCCAATTTGCAAATAAAATATCTAATTGTCTTTTTATTACATGTACTATTTATGTCATTTATTAGCTTCATGAATAATTTCTGTGGGACAAACTAAAATAATGATTCTTACCAAGAATATTTTTTCTTTTTCTCTCCAGTTTGGACTCAATGATCTCCTGTGTCCTTGCAGATGAAGTTTGAGCAGAAAAATTCAGATAAACAGGGACATAACCAGCTGATTCTTGAATTTTATTTAGCAATCCTTTTGCAATCACAGACTTAAATTAAAATAAGTTAATTAATGTCACATCAATATAATCTCTTTCAGTTATATCTGTAATAATTTGGCACAATAAGTAAGAAACACGATAAAAAGAGAGAGGTTAAAGCTAGATTGAAATGTCTGCTTTCTCTTACTGGAGATTCCGTTTAGTTATATTTTTCAGAATCAAAGAGATATTCTAATCAGCACTATCTTAGCAAAAAGTTTTAATTTATTTTCATGCCAAAATCCATCTTGGCTACTCTTCAAGCCAATTTATGGAAAGAGTCACAGAAAGATGCAAATTTCTTTTAGAATAATTTTTTTGGGAAACAGTGAAATTTTATGTGGATTCTCCAAAACTTATAAGCCCAAATCATCAGTATTCCTCCCTCCATTCTACTTTAACAAAAACCCCCAGATAATCAAGGATACCATTGTTGTATCAGGTATAAATGAACAGGCAGGAGGGGATGGGCTGATCTCTATCAACAGCCTTTTGGGAATGCAAACTCCTCTGGCCAGTTCCCATCCAACTAGTGCAGTGGCAGCCCGCAAAATACCAAGGAATAAAAAATAAAAGCCCCTAAGCACAAATGCTGGGCTACAGGGCTCTCTAGTTCATACAGTATCAACTCCAAGAATGTGTTCAGAAACTGGCAAACTTTAGAACAGTTCCTAGGATCAATATAGATTCAGCATAACATTCTTCCTGCAAAAGCGCTAAAAGCTAAACAAAAATTCCTCTCAGAAATAATATTACTTCTGGTGCTAACAATTTTAAGTCCACCATGCCCTCACATTTGGAGAGGACTTCTTGTCTGATGTAAGTTTCCTACCTTGCCCACTCCAGTTATGCCAGTAAACAACACAGAATGCTTGACTGCCAGTAGTTTTTCCATTAGGTACCCATAGCGCACTGTGTCAGTTGTGGGGACAAGCATTTCAAAAAATGGAACATCTCGGTTGTATTTGAAGGTAGGTATGATTCGTTCCCAGGGATCCAACCGTTTGGTGTCAAAGTCCATATGAGTGCTCCACAGATCACCAGAACTGGGAAGCTAAAGCACCAAATGAAACACCACTTTCAATAGGGAATAAGCAATATTGACACACAGTAGTAGATATATTTATATAGAAACAAAGGCAGTCAAAAAACCTAAATGGATTTGGATTTCTTTGTTCTTTGTAGATACATAGTTATTTAGCTATCTGAGACTAGTTATTTAAACCAAATCATGCAACACAATGCATGAAAATATCTGTTATAGCAATTATATTAAAACTCATGTCAGAATTGTAAAGCATTTTTAATTAAATTTAACATTCAGGGGCTTACTCTATGCCAAATACTATCTCTGATGCTGAGGACAAGTGCTGAATGAGATCCAGTCTCTGTCTTCAATGACCTGGTAATCCCCCCGAGGGACATAAGCACTTCAGTTAATACCCACGGGGAAATAAGGGCTCTAAAGGAGTTTATTACAATCACACACACACACACACACACACACACACACACACACACACACACACACACACACAGTGATGGCTCATTTCTACTTGCAGGGGAGTTATGGTGATGGCTACAGATTCAGGAAGGCTTCCAGGAGTGGTAATGCTACAACTCAGACTTGAAGAACAAGCTGGAGTCAGATGGGCAAAAAAGGGATGGCATGGGGTGGGAAAGAACGGGTTCAGGATTCAGACTAAAAAAACAGGATTAGAAGTCTGATGCCATGGAAAATATGATGTATGCTGGGAAGCACGAGAGCACTGCATACATTGAGATGAGGCTGGAAATACAGATAGGCCAAGTTTTAAAAGCTTTACTTATTAAAGATGTTAGAGCAACAGTTCAGTGAGGGATTCTAAGCAGGTAGGTAACATAATCAGATTGCATTTCAGAAGTTTCATTCCGGCAGCTGTACAGAGCAATACTGCTTCAAGGTCATTTGACAGTGACTTTTAGTAAGAAATTCATTTTTCATTGTGACTCTGTACATACATATATATGTGTATCTACAAACAAGTAAAATATTTACCTCTACTATGTGCAATTCATTCTACTTTCTTTTTTTAAATTGTTATCCAGGATCAAAGTTTTTTTTTTTTTTTATTATACTTTAAGTTCTAGGGTACATGTGCACAACGTTCAGGTTTGTTACATATATGTTGGTGTGCTGCACCCGTTAACTCATCATTTACATTAGGTATATTTCCTAATGCTATCCCTCCTCCCTCCCCCACCCCACAATAGGCCCCAGTGTGTGATGTTCCCTGCCCTGTGTCCAGGTGTTCTCATTGTTCAATTCCCACCTATGAGTGAGAACATGTGGTGTTTGGTTTTCTATCCTTGTGATAGTTTGCTCAGAATGATGGTTTCCAGCTTCGTCCATGTCCCTACAAAGGACACGAACTCATCTTTTTTTATGGCTGCATAGTATTCCATGGTGTATATGTGCCACATTTTCTTAATCCAGTCTATCATTGATGGACATTTGGGTTGGTTCCAAGTCTTTGCTATTGTGAATAGTGCCGCAATAAACATACGTGTGCATGTGTCTTTATAGCAGCATGATTTATAATCCTTTGGGTATATACCCAGTAATGGGATGGCTGGGTCAAATGGAATTTCTAGTTCCAGATCCTTAAGGAATCGCCACACTGTCTTCCACAATGGTTGAACTAGTTTACAGTCCCACTAACAGCGTAAAAGTGTTCCTATTTCTCCACATCCTCTCCAGCACCTGTTGTTTCTTGACTTTTTAATGATCGCTATTCTAACTGGCATGAGATGGTATCTCATTGTGGTTTTGATTTGTGTTTCTCTTATGGCCAGTGATGAGAAGCATTTTTTCATGTGTCTGTTGGCTGCATAAATGTCTTCTTTTGAGAAGTGTCTATTCATATCCTTTGCCCACTTTTTGATGGGGTTGTTTGATTTTTTTTCTTGTAAATTTGTTAAGTTCTTTGTAGATTCTGGATATTAGCCCTTTGTCAGGTGGGTAGATTGCAAAAATTTTCTCCCATTCTGTGGGTTGTGTATTCACTCTGATGGTAGTTTCTTTTGCTGTGCAGAAACTCTTTAGTTTAATTAGATCCCATTTGTCTATTTTGGCTTTTGCTGCCATTGCTTTTGGTGTTTTAGTCATGAAGTCCTTGCCCATGCCTATGTCCTGAATGGTATTGCCTAGGTTTTCTTCCAGGGATTTTATGGTTTTAGGTCTGACATTTAAGTCCTTAATCCATCTTGAAATAACTTTTGTATAAGGTGTAAGGAAGGGATCCAGTTTCAGCTTTCTACATATGGCTAGCCAGTATTCCCAGCACCATTTATTAAATAGGGAATCCTTTCCCCATTTCTTGTTTTTGTGAGATTTGTCAAAGATCAGATAGTTGTAGATGTGTGGTATTATTTCTGAGGGCTCTGTTCTGTTCCATTGGTCTGCATCTCTGTTTTGGTACCAGTACTATGCTGTTTTGGTTACTGTAGCCTTGTAGTATAGTTTGAAGTCAGGTAGCGTGGTGCCTCCAGCTTTGTTCTTTTTGCTTAGGATTGTCTTGGCAATGCAGGCTCTTTTTTGATTCCATATGAACTTTAAAGTAGTTTTTTCCAATTCTGTGAAGAAACTCATTGGTAGCTTGATGGAGATGGCATTGAATCTATAAATTACCTTGGGCAGTATGGCCAATTTCACAATATTGATTCTTCCTATCCATGAGCATGGAATGCTCTTCCATTTGTTTGTGTCATCTTTTATTTCATTGAGCAGTGGTTTGTAGTTCTCCTTGAAGAGGTCCTTCACATCCCTTGTAAGTTGGATTCCTAGATATTTTATTCCCTTTGAAGCAATTGTGAGTAGGAGTTCACTCATGATTTGGTTCTCTGTTAGTCTGTTATTGGTGTATAGGAATGTCTGTGATTTTTGCACATTGATTTTATATCCTGAGACTTTGCTGAAATTGCTTATCAGCTTAAGGAGATTTTGGGCTGAGACAGTGAAGTTTTCTAAATATACCATCATGTCATCTGCAAACAGGGACAATTTGGCTTCCTCTTTTCCTAATTGAATACCCTTTATTTCTTTCTCCTGCCTGATTGTCCTAGCCAGAACTTCCAACACTATGTTGAATAGGAGTGGTGAGAGAGGGCATCCCTGTCTTGTGCCAGTTTTCAAAGGGAATGCTTCCAGTTTTTGCCCATTCAGTATGATATTGGGTGTGGGTTTGTCATAGCTCTTATTATTTTGAGATATGTCCCATCAATACCTAGTTTATTAAGAATTTTTAGCATGAAGGGCTGTTGAATTTTTGTTGAAGGCCCTTTCTGCAACTATTGAGATAATCATGTGGTTTTTGTCATTGGTTCTGTGTATATGATGGATTACATTTATTGAATTGCATATGTTGAACCAGCCTTGCATCCCAGGGATGAGCTTTTTGATGTGCTGCTGGATTTGATTTGCCAGTATTTTATTGAGGACTTTTGCATCGATGTTTGTCAGGGATATTGGTCTAAAATTCCCTTTTTATTGTTGTGTCTCTGCCAGGCTTTGGTATCAGGATGATGCTGGTCTCATAAAATGAGTAAGGAAGAATTCCCTCTTTTTCTATTGATTGGAATAGTTTCACAAGGAATGGTACCAGCTCCTCTTTGTATCTCTGGTAGAATTCAGCTATGAATCCATCTGGTCCTGGACTTTTTTTGGTTGGTAGGCTCTTAATTATTGCCTCAATTTCAGAGCCTGTTATAGGTCTATTCAGGGATTCAACTTCTTCCTGGTTTAGTCTTGGGAGGGTGTATGTGTCCCAGAATTTATCCATTTCTTCTAGATTTTCTAGTTTATTTGCATAGAGGTGTTTATAGTACTCTCTGATAGTAGTTTGTATTTCTGTGGGGTTAGTGGTGATATCCTCTTTATCATTTTTTATTGCATCTATTTGATTCTTCTCTCTTTTCTTCTTTATTAGTCTTGCTAGCAGTCTATCAATTTTGTTGATTTTTTCAAAAAACCAGCTCCTGGATTCATTGATTTTTTGAAGGGTTTATTGTGTCTCTATCTCCTTGAGTTCTGCTCTGATCTTAAGTTATTTCTTGCCTTCTGCTAGCTTTTGAATGCGTTTGCTCTTGCTTTTCTAGCTCTTTTAATTGTGATGTTAGGGTGTCAGTTTTAGATATTTTCTGCTTTCTCTTGTGGGCATTTAGTGCTATAAATTTCCCTCTACACACTGCTTTAAATTGTGTCCCAGAGATTCTGGTATGTTGTGTCTTTGTTCTCACTGGTTTCAAAGAACATCTTTATTTCTGCTTTCATTTTGCTATGTACCCAGTAGTCATCCAGGAGCAGGTTGTTCAGTTTCCATGTAGTTGTGCAGTTTTGAGTGAGTTTCTTAATCCTGAGTTCTAGTTTGATTGCACTGTGGTTTGAGAGACAGTTTGTTGTGATTTCTGTTCTTTTACATTTGCTGAGGAGTGCTTTTCTTCCAACTATGTAGCCAATTTTGGAATAAGTGTGATGTGGTGCTGAGAAGAATGTATATTCTGTTGATTTGGGGTGGAGAGTTCTGTAGATGTCTATTAGGTCCACTTGGTGCAGAGATGAGCTCAAGTCATGGATATCCTTGTTAAGTTTCTGTCTCATTGATCTGTCTAATGTTGACAGTGGGGTGTTAAAGTCTCCCATTATTATTGTGTGGGAGTCTAAGTCTCTTTGTAGGTCTCTAAGGACTTGCTTTATGAATCTGGGTGCTCCTGTATTGGGTGCACGTTTAGGATAGTTAGCTCTTCCTGTTGAATTGATCCCTTTACCATTATGTAATGGTCTTCTTTGTCTCTTTTGATCTTTGTTGGTTTAAAGTCTGTTTTATCAGAGACTAGGATTGCAACCCCCTGCTTTTTTTGTTTTCCATTTGCTTGGTAGATCTTCCTCTATCCCTTTATTTTGAGCCTATGTGTGTCTCTGCATGTGAGATGGGTCTCCTGAATACAGCACACTGATGGGTCTTGACTCTTTATCCAATTTGCCAGTCTGTGTCTTTTAATTGGAGCATTTAGTCC